AAACAAAAACTTTGATACCACCACGTGTAACCCCCTATACCTGACATAGAAGTTATGACCAAATCTAGGCAGTCACATATCGTATTCAAAAATTATTTTCATATTTAAATAACATTGAAATACATATATCAATATAATATGAAACTATCATCAGTGAGATTCATGCGATAAACATATATATATCGAAAAAAACCTTATAAAACATATGCATAACAAAATACCAGTAATAAATATATATAAAAACAATAGCAAGAACATGTGCCACCAAATTATAACAAAAAGGGCATATATGGATATATAGTGGTACAAAAATGAGGAGTAATCCGTCATTCTGATGCCAAGTCTACTAGTCTACTGTCCACTACTATCTGAAAAGGTAAAAATTTACATAATAAGCTAAAAAACCCAGTGTGCTCATTGTTGTGTATAAAAATATACAGTTAAAATACTTCAGTAAAAAAATTAGTTAATCAAACATGTTTTTTTTAAAAAAAAATATGAACATTACCTTCATCCGATCACCAGAATGTTTAGGTTTCCCAAAATCATACACCCACATGTACACTCGGTAAGGACCTTATACATGCAACATAAGGACATGTGATAAGAACTTACCCTGTGCACAGAGTAAATGAGCCTGTCAGAAGGTCTTACAAGTCATAGACTATGCTTGATATACTTCCTCCAATAATACCCTCATTGACAATAATAAACATGTATGTATTCGAGTAAAAATGGTAGTTTAATCCATTAAAACATGAAAATATTGCATATTCAGAAATCATATATAAAAATACAGTAACTAGATATTATATCAGAAATATACAATAGATCAGATATCATATAAACATGATTAAAAAAATCAGGTATCATGTCATAAAAATATTTAGTATCAGCAGAAATCTAAAACAGTTCAGATAGGTAGTTTAAAATAGTAATGAAACACCATCAGGAAACACACCTATATCGGTCTGAGTAGTCTGATAAGGAAGCCTACTACTAGGTCTACCGATCACAACCAGCGGCAACGCTATATCATATGATTCAGAAAATTTATATCAGAATCCTAGTAAATAATAATAATAATGTATATTCAAACAATTTACGGAAACCTATGAGTAATTCCCAAAGAACGCAGATTGTGTGGATCTGACGAACGGGAAGCATCGGATCTAATCGACCCTCAATCGGGAAAAAAATTAACACCTTCATAAAAATATATTCCCAAATTAATTTCATATTCAAATCTCAAATAAATAAGCAAAAATGCTAAAAAATACTAAGCATTTTCATATTAACGAGCTCGATTCGGGACTTTTGGGTTAGAATTTGGCAAAACGAACCACAAAATCAGACTCAAGACGTCGAAAAATGTCAAGATTGAGGTTTTCAAAAAAAATCAATTGCGGTCAACGATGGTTCGGTTCGATTCAGACTGGATCGGTTTGGTTCGGTTCGATTTGGATGAGCCAATTTAGGCTTTTGGGCTGAATGGGTAACGGGTTTGGTCGGATCGGGCAGACGGATCAAGTCAGGTCGGATTAGCTTCTAGAAGCCCACTAGGCGATAGACCTTCCATATGCGCAAGGGCGGCGCGTGGGGGAGTGTGTCGGACCTTCGGGGTAAAAAATATTCTGAAAAAATTTCTATACTCTATTTAAGGAGTTTAGAGACACTTACCAAGCTCTGTTCACAACGGTGAACAGTGAAGAAATCAATTTTGCAACGTCAAAAATTTGTCCTTCCTCACCCCTTCACACGTCGATGACAATGGAGACGAGGCGAATACCGATGGACTCAGAGGAAACAAGGAACACGATGGTGTGAGAGATAAAGTAAACAGTGCAATAGTCGGCAATAAAATGTCGATTGAAGTTTGCTTACTAAAAGAGGAAATCTTGAAGAGAGAAAGAAGGTTTCAAAATGAGGAAACTTTCTTAAAAAGGAAAATGGTATAATTTCATAAGAGGTCCTTCATTACTTTTTGAATTTGGATCCAAATTTAATCAAAATTTTATTTTGGTCCTTGAATTTAGTTAAAATTTCAATTTAATCTTTGAAATTAATTTTAAGAAAATTTTAGTCCCTAAATTGCAGTGTGACAAAACTCTTATTTAGCACAAATCTTACAAAATCATAATCGAATAAAATTACCCTTAATAAAAAATAAAACTTTAATTATACATGATGGAATACAAAATCAAAAGAACAAAGAGAGAAAGAGAATTACCATCTAAAGCATTTTTTTGAATACAGGGGAATTGTCATCTAAAGTTGATGAATCTAAGATTACCTAATAGATTCCTTGTATAATAAGTCAATTCTACCTCTAATTTTTTTTCATGATCAAAACAAATATATTTTTAATAAAATTTTAATCTAACAAGAAAAACTAAAATAAAGAGAAATCTAAATAAATAAAATATTAAATGATATAGAAGATATTTCACTTGTTCAACACTTTCAAAATAATGAGAAAATAATCATAATATGTGATGTTTTGAAGTAAAACTTAAGATAAACAATAAATTAATTAAAGTTTGAATATGAAATTTGATGAAAATTAAATCTTACCAAACTTCCAATTTGAGGGTATAAATTCCATATAATTATCATAAATTTAAAGGTTAATTTCTCGTTTGTTCAAAAAAAAAATATTTCTCGTATTTATATACCTAATCGACCTAGTCAAAAAAGTCACAACAAATATAATTCTCCTAATATAATTAATTAAAATCAAATAATTAAATGAAAACTTACCATCAAATAACTAGACGCGATGACATTTCATATTAAATTCAAATATTAAAAATTATGAGAAAGATTCAATCAAAATAATTAATTGAGACAGCTACAATCAGATTAGTCTTATACTTTTATTTCCCCAAAAGTCTATCATGCAAGCTATATAGTTGAGAAAACCACAACACCACATGTGATCCGATTTCTTGTTGCCTTAATCAATCATTTATTCCCGCATGAAGACTCACCCACCAAAATTACGTGTGAAACCGGGTCGATCCAAAATCTTTGGGAACAGGAAGGACAAAAAAAATTCAATCATTTATGACAATTATAAACCGTAGGCTTATGGTATGACAATTATAAATGGTAGGCTTATTATAGAAAAAGAAAATTCAACTTTAAATCAATGCATCAATATAAAAAGGAAGAACAAGAAATAAAGATTTCTTATATTAAAGAAAAAACTCTTATTTAGCACAAACCTCATAAAATCATAATTGAATAAATTTACCCTTAATAAAAAGATAAACCTTTAATTATAAGAACAAAGAGAGAAAGATAATTGCCATTTAAAGCATTTTTTTGATTATATGGGAATTGTCATCTAAAGTTAATGAACCTAAGATAACCTAATAGATTGCTTGCATAATAAGTCAATTCTAACTCTAAAAAAATATTTTATAATAAAAACAAATGCATTTTTAATAAAATTTTTATCTAATAAGAAAAAACAAAAATGAAGAAAATTTTAAATAAATAAAATATTAAATGATATAAAAGATATTCCTCTTGTCCAACACTCTCAAAATAATGAGAAAATAATCATAAAAATGGACTTACCACGAATTTAATTCCAATAATTGAATTTTATGTGCGTTAGTTTCTAACTAGTTATCAGTTATAAGGTGTGATCATGTCTTATGAAAGATGATCTTTTTCTCATACTTTACTTCTTTAAAAAGACTTGATTTTCACATGAAAATCTAAAAACATATTTTTGGTATTACATTTTACTCTTTGATCTTTCTTTCGGTTTCGTTTTACAAGTTTTATAGATACTTTTAGTGTTGTAGTCAAATATAGTATCATTATATTTACTAGTAAGTTAACAATCTAAATGGATATGATCAGTTGATAATAGATTTAGTTCTGACAAATCATATAGATTTGTCAAAAATCATATCAAGAGATCACAACTTTTCAAATAATATTAAGTGTTTATTTCTCTGAAGATACTCCAAGATCTTAACTATAGAAGAGGTATGAGGAAACTCCGCGACGCCATGTGTGAGAGAGAATATATTTTACTTGTTACTCTAAACGTCAATGGCTTTGCTGATATCCTCGATGCATCAGATATAGTACGTAAGAAGTTCAATTTCATGCATGTACGAATATACATACATCCATGCATGCATTTATATATGTTTTCGTCTGTTTTTGTAAAAAATGTATGTTTGGTTTTCGATTAAATGCAGAACATCCAAAAGTCGTATCAAATTATCGATCATGGGATCTCCTTATATTAGAGAGAGGGATGTGTTACCCCTGTTAATTCTTTTTGGAACAAATCGATTTTGGACTCGGATGTAATTTTCTTTTTTTAGAGAACTTAGATGTAATTATTAGAAACCTTGATACTGGTCAATTTTACAATTTTTCTTTAAATGGCCACTGTTAGGTTGTGGATGGTTGCTATCTAGTTTCTTTTTACGTGTTTTGATTGTAATATATTTTTCTTTAAAGGTGTTTAGCCGGAATGATGAACTTTAGTGACGATATATTTAGAGTTCAAAACATTTTTCGAAGAAATAAATATTAAATTCATGTTTAGAAGGTTAAAAAAGTATAAACAATAAATTCTGAGGTCTAATTTTATCAAAGACGATGATCGATGGCAGCTGACGGTGATCGAAGATGGTGATGAGCGACAGTTGATGATAATAGACTTTAATCGTATTCAAGAGTTAAATTTATATTTTATCTAAAATTAAAGGTAAAATTTAAAACTATTCTTTTACTTTAAACTAACAACATTTACCGTACTAGTGATCAAAATGTTATAAAATGATATTGTAAGTGATTAAAATGTTATTTGTTTAGGTTTAGTGAGCGAACAATGAATACTTGCAAAATAAAAGTGACCATTACGATAGTTTATCCCATGGTTTATTTTGTACCCGTTCTGAAAAGGAAAGAAGAAGAAAAAATGCAAGTCTGACCTTTCCATCGGAAATTTCCAAAAACCACCCACCACCACTTCATCTTCCAGCCCCCATAATACCTAACTGAAAGGTCTACAAATTTTCTTATTCCTATTGAGTTCTGCAATACAATAATACTCCTCAAAATGTTGTTTTTTACGAAAACATTTTCATTTGAATTCCATCGAAGCTGTGATAGGAAAAAAAGTATATTCGTACAATCGGTTTCTTCCTCTATGTCTCTTATGTATTGGATTCTGATCTTGAACGTTTGGGTCTTTAAAGCATCGTCGTTGCAAGCGGGATCCCGGGCTGTACTTCGTGAGATTGCTGCTATCGACGGTGACGGTAGTGATCCGAAGGACTACGCCGTTGAATTGAACGCCACGAGTTTCGATGCAGTTCTCAAGGAAACTCCTGCGGCTTATGCTTTAGTCGAATTCTTCGCTCATTGGTTAGTACTCTTCTTTTATTTTTCTTACGCTGTCATTGTTTCAAAATTTGAGCAGAAAACATTAAATTATGCTTATGGTTTTACAGTTATGTAATGCTGTTGACCGTGGAAGAAAAAAAATACTTTCATTTATTTTTTTGAATTGCTTACTTGGTGAAAAGTTTAATCTGCCGGAAATTAGCCTTTTATTCTGAGTTTCTGACTTACTTATCCTTACGAGAATTGGTGTTTTTATTTGGGCTGATAGACAAAATATCTTATCCAAGTGTAGGATTGGAAATATTGAACTTTATCAGTTTCATTTTCATATAATTGAATGTATTAGTTTCTATTCTGTCATTGTTTGAAGTTAAAAAATAGAGTGATGGCTTTTAGCGAACTTGCTATAGTAAGAAATTGGACACCTTGGGCGAACATGAATAGAAGGATATGACCATCCAAATTTTGGCAAAAGTTGATGAAGATTGAACACTGCCTTGTTGACATTTACCCGTTAATTTCCGAAACTATACCTAATGGAATGGTATCCCTGATAGATTCAAATTAAGTCTTCAGAGCTATGGACAAATTTTCCTAGCTTAACATTTTTCAGTGTGATATTTCTTTTCTTCCAAAAGATCTCTGGGCTGTAGCATATTGTCAACTGTTTGCATGGAATAATTATATTTTGTGCTTTGTCTTATAAGCTAGGGATCCAGATTCTAAGATTTTAGGCTTTGCCTTGCAAGTTGAAGATACAATGATGTGTTCTTTTGGATGGTGGACCACAATGGCAATGGCTCACTAATGTTTAGAGTAACAAGTGAAATTGTTTTTCTCCTTTAGAGGGTGTATAGAATACAAGACAGTTACATCAGTTACAGTTGATGTGTTCAACTGCATGTACGTCTGGTCAAAGCCCATTTGCATGTTGATACAAGCGATCCTTTTAATACAAAGATTGCCAAACAACAAGTGTGCTTTCTCTTCGAATATAGAAAGCGTTAACGTAGTATTACCATATCCATGACAGTATGTGGTTAAGCATATAATGTAAATGCATCTATATGTCTCAAGTCTTTGGGGTTGGCATGTCAAAGCCTTTTGTTCTTCATGGCTACTTTTTACCAGACTCTTGGATCTCATTAGTTGGATTGTAGGAAAAGTGTTAGCAAACCAATTATCGATTGCAGTTGTTCACATTTCACAGCCTGTTTGTTGTATTGTTTTGATTTACTAGTAGTTGCCTGGCCTTGTTTCCTTGATATTTTGTAGCTTATAATTGCACAAGGTTTTCCCTTTTCATAAGAAGGGTACCTTTCTACACACTGGTATGCGCAAGCAACACGCTTCTTTATCCCTATAAAACTACATTCTTTCTTGGTTAAATGTATGTATCTAGCAGTTGAATTCCATGCTCCAAGTCAGTAATGATGTTATATGACATTTTATTACTTTTCAGGTGCCCTGCTTGCAGAAATTACAAGGTATCGTATGGTCTATTTTGTGCTTAGATTTTTCATACCTTCACATTCTTAAAACTTTTTGCTGCTTTATGTACAATTTTTCAGCCCCATTATGAAAAAGTTGCAAGGCTTTTCAATGGGCCCAATGCTGTGCATCCTGGAATTGTATTGATGACTAGAGTAGACTGTGCATTAAAGGTATTTGTATTGTCTTCTGAAAACTTGCGAAGTGCAGCCTCATGGAAATACTTCTGTAAAGTACTTGTTTCTTCAATAACATTTATTTTCCTTAATACCATAATGCTGGGATTTAAGATGGAGTTGAAATATTTCTGAACGTGTGGAATTTTGAAAATAAGGTTTGATGTTTTGTGTTTAATAGCTAGAACAAACACTTTGAATTTGTTTCTTCGGTTGTTTTGTTTAGTTATTGCTCCATTCAAGCATGTATTAACACTGCCAAACATTAAAAGTATCTGTTAAAATACTTCTTTACATATTTGAGAATAGATATCAAATTCATTTGTCTCTGCTTAAAAGATGTTCGATGTTTTTTCCCCATCTTCCTTAGAAATAAAGCTTAACTATACCTAAGTTGAGCATAGGGCCTTAGAAATGACCGGTGTAAAGAGGAAAAAAGGTAAAATAGAAGAAAAAAATTGATCTCCATACTCCAAACTGTTTCAGAGGTTCAATTAGTTTGAGTCCCTAATTTATTTTTATCACATAACTGATCACTAACCTTGTCCACAGGGTAGCAAGAAATTTTAAATTGGTGTGAACTGAAACAGAGTGAATTTGTTAAATGCTCCTCAAAGTTTTCAAGAAATGAGAACTATTAGAAACCAAGATTCTTTCAAAATGATTTGTAATTGTTATTTGCTTGATAGATGTTGGGTATTACAATTACAAACATAAATTTATGTTTTACTTTTGTTGACAAGGAACACATAGAATTAGGAATTCCGGAACAAGTGAAACTAATATCATCTGGATCAGAAATCCTGGAAGTTAAAATTCACATGATTGAGGAAATAATTGCCTTGTGATTGTGAGCTACTCGAGATCGACTCGGTCAAAGCTCGGTCAACTCTCGAATCGAATAGACTCAACTCGAATTCTTAACGAGCCGAAGCGAGCTACTTGATACCCGACTCAAAAAGCTCGCGAGCAACTCGAAAAAATGATATATTAAATTTTTAGATTTTTAAATTAAATTATTATTAATATTAACATTTATATGCTCGAGTTTGAGCTTCAATTGAGCTAAGTACGAGAATCTTTTGAGTTCAAGTTTTTTCGAGCTCGACTCGAGCTTCAATTTTTTATTTCAAGTCGAGTCGAGCTCAACACTATTTGAGCTCAACTCAGATCGCTTACAGCGTAGCACTTCTAATTTTTTCTATGATTCAGGCCTTCTCCTGTTTCGAAGTGAAATTGTTAAAGTGGAAATTCAATAAAGTAGCACTTTGAATATCATTACTGAGCCTTTTAGACTAGAATGTAGCCATCTAAGGTGAATTTTCTTTTTTCTCAATGTATTTAGATTTACTACATATTTAATCTTGTTCTGTTAACCAACTATGCATAAAAGATTATGTTCCATTTCGGGCACTTCTTTTTGACTGATTTTGGCTTGAAAAATGTTTCTTGTTAATTTTATTTTGGTTCTCTGTCTTTCTTTGGAAGCACAGATAAATACCAAACTTTGTGGTAAGTTTTCTGTGGGTCACTATCCTATGCTGTTCTGGGGTCCTCCTACAAAGTTTTCTGCTGGCTGGAGCTCTGATCAAGCAAAAAGTAAGTTAAGTGTAATTGATGACGGGCGGACTGCGGAACGCTTGCTTAATTGGATCAATAAACAAATAGGAAGGTATGAAGTATCTTCATCTGTTACATTTTTAATACACAGCATCTTTATAATCCAACCAGTTTTTTTTTTTTTTAATTTATGGATTTGTAAAAGAAACTATGAGCGATTTACTTAAAGCAGCTATGGCTTTTTTTATCAGATATTGTTCTTTTGTCCTTATACATTTAGGAATTGCCTGATATTTGGGAAAACATGTTATTTTAATAACCTTATAATTATTGACACCACGTGGAGGAAGACTTTTTGTTAGTTAATTGAATATAGGCCTAATTTCAAAGTTAATTCTGCATTTGGGATGCATCATATATAGGAGGAGGGTGCGTTCTTCAAATTCAGTTGCAGCTTATGCATATGTATGTATACCCATGTTGCTGTATAAAAATCCTTGAGAAAAACACTGACTGATTAGTTTAATGCTTTGCCAGAAGTTTTATTGTATGCCAACATGTGTATGAGTAGGAAGGGCAACAAGTCCAGTTCCTGTACTGTTTGGTCTTCTTAACCCTACGTTGACTCAAGCCTGCATAATTTCTGAAAAATTAAGAATTTTGGTTTATGTGAAAAATCCAAAATAAAAGTTGAACCTTTATACATTATCTAAATCATTGTGTTAGGCCTAGAAAACTGGGATAGGATTGGAACTTTAGACATTTTTTAAGTACGCATGGCAGGATGGGGGAGGTTTGGGGGTATAATGAAATCTGTTTCTGTTCTGACATTTTAGTTATAAAAAATTAGTGTTTGATTGATATTGTACTTCTAAATTTGGTGCCAAATATTTGCACTTTCTATGAAAATTTGATCTTCTGCTTTTGTTCTCATTTGATTTCTACTGTTTATACTCCCTTTCAGTTCATATGGCCTGGATGATGAAAAGTTTGAAAACGAGCATCTTTCATCAAATATATCTGATCCTGGACAGGTTTCTTTGCGCATTTCCAATTTGAGTTCTTGAATGATGCATGTTTGAGACTTTGTCAATATGCTTTGGATTTTATCTTCATTGTTTTGATAAAATTTTGAAAGATTGCTCGAGCTGTGTACGATGTGGAGGAGGCAACTGCAACTTCCTTTGACATCATTTTAGAACATAAGGTTGGAATTTCACTATCTTGTGTAAATTTCCTCTATTTCTGACGTGTTTGTATGCATATAGGCTGGTATTTTTTTTTTGTCTTACTAAAGTTGTTGGAGATGGTGTCCTGCAGATGATTAAGTCAGGAACTCGAGCTTCACTAATAAAATTCCTTCAGCTTTTAGTGGCTCATCACCCTTCGAGAAGGTAAAGATCCAATCTTTCAAGTATGTATCTTGGCTTGGCTTCATGTTACAAAAATGCTAGTAACTAGTAAGTTAATTACCCTGCGGACAAGAAGGAATTACTGCACAAGGAAAAAAAATAACTCTTAATGGCTACTGATATGACCTTGAAGGAAAGGAGAGGGGTTTTTATTGAGCTTTGGTGAGCTCTTAACTGCCAAAAGAATATTATATCATGATACCGTTTTCATCAAACTTATCCCAAAAAGGAGCACATATTATAGATTCATCAGTTGAGTTTCAAACTAATTGTCCAAAAGCTATGCAACTCAGAATAATTTCTTTTCCAAGTAAAAGATCAAGAGTGATATGTAACGCAAATCATGTCATTTCTAGGACGCATGTCGAAGGTAGTATTGGAAATAACTGACATGAGACAATGTATCTCTTTATTCAATCACTAGACAAAAACAATGTTCTAGTTGATTCAATAACTTAAAGCAGCTTTGGTCAAGGCAAAGTTTCTAAACAACTCCAAAATTGATTAATGATGACCCAATACATGATGAGAAACAATTCTATCACTTCTCCTACCTGACATGAAGTGAATAAAAGCCATATCAAAGTGGCAGCAAGCTCTAATAAAGAAAGAGCATGAAGTAGAGAGAAGAAAATAAGTAGTGAAAGGTGAAGAACTGAAGCACATGAAGAAGAACAAAATTATCAAACAAAAATCAATACCTTGTCTGCAAGCCAAAAGTAATTCTTAAGTTTGATATCAACTTCTCCTTGGCTTTGTACTAGGTGTAGGAAGGGAAGTGCAGAAGTCCTTGTCAACTTCGATGACTTGTACCCATTAGACATTGGGTCGTCAGCCAGGCATGATGTTGACACCACTAGCATGATAGGGGTGCTACGCGATTTCCATATTTGTGGAAAGGATGTTCCCCGTGGATATTGGGTGGGTTCTAAAAGGCTTGGATTTTTCTTTTCTTTCTTTTTGTATATTTGAAGCTATTGATATTAGGAAGTACCATGTAGCCTTTTAATTTGCTTTTTAGTCTTTCTTTAGGTATATTTGAAGCTTGATTGATCTGGAATGCTCTAATACTACAACTGATGATTGTTAGTTACCTATAAGTAGTTACAACTTACAACACCCATTTATCATTTATGAGATCCATTGTGTGTCTCTCTCTCTATATCTACTAATAAGAGAATTATGACCGATACTTTTCAGCTGTGAGATTGCCAAACTGATTAAACCCTATAAATATTTTCCCCAAGATAAAATATATTCTTTTGAAAAATATATAGTTTCTATTTTAATAATTTCTTTATGCCACATTTGGATGTTCTTTTTTGCAGATGTTTTGTCGTGGCAGCAGGAACGATACCAGGGGCTTTAGGTAATATTTAAACACTCTCCTTAATTTTCAGCTCATGCAATTTTGAAGAACATTTTTAACTTTTCCAATCTGAAGTCTTTCACTCTCTTTAGGCATTGCTTTTGGTATCAAATTATTTCACTACTCTATGAGTCCACTTATTTTTGCAAACTAATAATGTTACTAGGGAGTGGTGTTTTGGTTTTTAGCAAATTAGCTCAAGATAGATGTCAACTGTGTACTTTGTACACTTATTTTAGCAAGCTTAGTTTACACTAGTCATTTCCTATTTTAGCCATAGAACAAAAACAATAAATCAAGCCATTTTGCAATGTATGATGTAAAAGATTGTTATTCTTGTCGTCAAAAGTTGTTTTACTCTTATCTGACTAACTTTCTTCCATAGTTATTTGTTCCTGTAATTCTTTTTCAACAATTCTCAGCCTTGCATATGATGTCAATCATGATAAAGAGTTTCCTTCAGCCGTAATTGATTTTATATCTGTCGATAATCATACATATTTTGTATGCAGTTGTGGCTTGTGGGTTTTAATGCATTCACTCTCCGTGAAGATCGAGGATGGAGAGAGCCAGTCTACATTTACATCTATGTGTGATTTTATTCACAACTTCTTTATTTGTGAGGAGTGCCGTCAACATTTTTATGAGATGTGTTCAAGGTAAATTTGATTCCAAAGCAAGTTATTTTCTTAAATATGTAAGTTAATTCCATCTAACTGCAAAAGTTGAATTTACAGTGTTAAAAGTCCTTTCAAAACAGCTCGTGACTTTGCCCTTTGGTTGTGGAGCTCACATAATGAAGTCAATGAGAGGTTAATGAAGGAAGAAGCATCTCTGAAAACAGGAGATCCTAAGTTCCCAAAGATCATTTGGCCTCCAAAACAGCTTTGCCCTTCATGCCAACATTCCCGAGTTCCCAAGGACAAAGGAAGCAGTCAGATAGAGTGGAACCGGGACGAAGTGTTCAAGTTATTAATTAGTTATTATGGGAATACGCTTGTATCTTTCTACAAAGAAAAGGGTCTTCTAGGTGAAGATGGATCCAAAGTTTTTGTCGATGATTCCTCGAATAGTGCAGTTGTGGTGCCAGTTGGGGCTGCATTGGCTATTGCTCTTGCCAGCTGTGCATTCGGAGCGCTTGCTTGCTATTGGCGTTCTCAGCAGAAGAGTCGGAAGTATTTCCATCAACTACACACTTTAAAGAACATATGATAGTTCTGAGGACATGGGTTCTTTCAAATAGGATTATAAACATTTAAGTGACGAGAAACAGGGTGAAAGGGGGTGGGGGAGAGTTTTAGAGAAAGAGAGAAGTTTTGGTATTTAGGATGCAAATTTCTTATCTGATTTCCTTCCACCACTTTTCAGGCCAAGGAGAAGCTGGAGTTAAGATTACTAGAACAACAAAAATCACACAAATCCTTAAGATGACCCGTCGGATGACCTCAAGCTCCGAGTATAAAATCCAGATTACAGCCTTATACTGTCTCACTCGAGGTCCTATTCTTTTATCAGTTTTCTATCAAGAACATCCTGAATTTTGGGTTCCTAGAGATTTAACATAATCCTAATTTTATCTGTTTTCTGATTGCCCCAATTCACATTTGAAATGCCGCGTGAATACTTTATAATGAGTTCTGTGAATGTCTGATACAAGTCTGTCCAATTCCCTCTCCCCATTTGATATTGTGTTCTTCATATGATTAAAACAGTGAACTGTAGTTAACTTGAATGTGAGAATATTGTGAACCTCTTTTAATAGTTATTTAAGATCAATGGAGTAAGATAAAAATATATTCATTTGTATTGCTGCTATTCTTTTATATACTGTACATTCTTTATATTTTTTCCTATATACAATTGGGAACTTCCATACTTTGGTTCAAAGAGACTCACCTCCTTCTGTTGGCGGTGACGGAGGGCAGTCACTGCTCTCACCATGACATAGATCGGAAAGATAATCCCAATAGTTGGAAGCGATAACAACTGTACAACGTAAGACGTTGCTAGTTTATAACCCCACGAGGCGATATCTTCAAAGTAAAAGAAGAAAACTTATCATAGGGAAGTGTACTCATCGGTTCCGGTAATTATGAAAGGAAGGGTATGTCGTAAAATCAACAGAAGCATGAACTGCAGATGAAAAGACTAAGAAATCAGCAGAATGAAAGCCATTGATGAATAACACTAAAGTGTTTAAGCTTTTTGAATCAGAAAATCTCAAATATTCCAATGCACTGCACTAAAATTTAGGACAGTGAACTTGATTTAGAGACTGAAAGTTACCACTATCGCAAGTTCGATAACATATCGAGTTTCTTGTAGTCAAAACCGAATATTCATCGTAACGACGATCTGTTGATACTACTGCTATAAAGCGAGAATCGTTTAACTTCCTCCTAGGGATCTCCCAGTTTGCCCTGGTAAAAGCCTTTAAACTTAAAATAACCATTTTTAACCAGATATAAGATGGTTAAAACTTCAACTTATACACAGGGTAGTTACCTCAAATTCATTGGAAAACGACTGATTTGAAACAAAGGAGGTGGTGCAGTATAGTTTGGCTTGAATTGCTGAAATGCAGAAGTTTTATGATCGGATAAGTTTAGTATAACATAATGGCAGATATAAACTATACAACAAACACAGTTAAAGAAAATGGAATTGAAAAAGAAGAAAACTGCATTAGTTAGAACACACACGGTCTCATAAAATGTAGAATAAGTAACCTGATGGCATATTTCGCAGCTGGTGTTGCCCTTCTCATTGCACCATCTTTGTACACATCTTCGATGAGCATACTTTGATAAAATAGAGGCGTTATGAAATAACGTCTAAACAGAAAGTAATCTGATTAATACTGATGAAGTCTTTCAAGCAGATATAAGGGATTCGAACAGCAGTCCGCTATCGAAATAATAGCTGTTATATAACGGTTTTGATGCCATCCGAAACCGTGATTATACGACCACAATAGTACCTATTATATCCATAATCGTGATAAACACAGTACAACCGAAAATGCGACTGAAACTACAATTTAAATCCTTACCATAAACTACAAATTTATACAATAGCTTAAAGCAACTAGATGATTAATACTGGCGATGTCTTTTATGAAGAAGAAACTAGAAAAAAATGGGTCAACTACATATTTAGTCATCCGCCTATTTCAATTTCGTTTTGGTCATCCAACTTTTTTACTTTTCAAAATCATAGTTAACATTACGTTTTGGTCACATACCGTTATGATAATTTTTTATTTTTTTAATGATGATGTGACACTACCTTATAGCAGCATGTCAGCATTACTGTTAATTTTTAATAAGTGACCAAAACAAAACGTTAAGTATATTTTTGAAAAATAATGATCGAGTGACCAAAACTAAACCGCAGAAATAGATTGATATTAAATACAAAGTTTATTCCATTGCATCATTCACCAAAATTTGGAAACACAACTTAACGTTACGTTTATGTGATATTTTTTCCTAAAAACTCCTACCTTTTAATGACACATTAACATCACTGTTAATTTTTTAATGGTGAGTGACCAAAATGAAACCAAAATATAACGTTTGATATGATTTTAAAATAAAAAATAGTTAAGTGACCAAAACAAAAAAAAAGTGATAGTTTGAGTATTAAAAGTATAGCTTACTACTAGTTTCAATCATAAATTCAGATTATCAGTAGGATATTGCAGTTTTGAAGGTATTTTTGAATCCCATTAAATATTTTTTTTAGTTTTCACATTCTTCATTCTGCAAATACTATGTGTACCAAAACATATATCAAAATATTACATCTTTGATGGAATGGGGACAGAGCAACAATGTTGATGAAACTTTCCTAATAACAAATTAACCAACAAGGTTTTTCATGCTAATTGATCAAGCTACATGCTTGGAAGCAATCTAAAGTAAAGCGCTATATATATAGACAATGAAAATAGGGCAAACAAATGCTGCCAGAAGAGAAGTGCTGAAGCCTCACTAACCGCATAACTCCTCAAACTCGCGATGGCTCCCAATAAAATGGCACTTGGTGTAGTGTATTGCAGCAAAAGCACGAATCGGTACATCGCATCACCAACTACAAGAAGGTTCAATTTGCTAGCAAGTGTCACAATCCCTATTCCTAGCAAAGGAAGCACCAACAGCCTTGCCACGATTATGCCGATGGTAGTTCTGAGTCCGAGCTTGGACTCGTTTGGACCCTCGGACAGCATACCGCCAAGAATGAGCATCACAGAAGGCACCATTGCACCGGCTAAAATCTCCAAGCTGTCTGTTATGAAAGATAGGGGAGCATCGTATCCAAAGACGATAGATTTTAAATGAGGCACTGTACCAACAATGATAGCTAGTAAAGATGCAATTGTAGGGGGCTGAAGTATGTGTTGTATAGGAGTTTGTTCAGCAACTGTTCGGATCCTCCTGACTACTCTAGGTTCAGCCAAGCACCGAATGGACACATGATTACTCCCGCCATACTCTCCATTGATATCAATGTCGGGAACAGTGGTTGTAGATTGATCAGAGGTGCTGTTAAAAACCCTGGCAATGAACGGTGTCTTAGAATGTTCAGTCTCTTTTTCTTCGATACCTGGCCATTCAGCTGTAATGAGAAGAGGCCTGCTGATATCATTAACCGGCGGACTCAATTCCTCAATTTCAGTCTCTTCTTCAAGAATTTCATAGGAGTCCAAAGGTGGCTCCATCATGTGATAAACCAAGGTATAGACCAGAATAACAGCAACCCACTGTGCAAAAGAGACATAGGCCACACCCCTCGAGTGGCAATGGGGTCCAAATGGAGAATTCGAGGTGTGACACACAGATCCAACAATAGCTATAGAGAGGTTTCCCGTATTGCCAAAGGCGGTCATAATGATGGTAAATCTCTTGTACTCAGGCGGAGGGCGACATATGACAACCACCAAAAACCCAAGCAAGCAACCAACAAAAGTACTGATTAACACATTGACCGGTATGAACCACCACCTAGCAATGCTATCGAACGTAATACTTTGACCCAATTCAGTAAAAATTAGGCAGGGCAAGAACAGAACAAAAACAAGCTTGCTTAGGAGCTTAAATGTGTCTCTTGGAATGATTTGAGTTCTGCGATGTGCAAGAACTAATCCTATAGCAGTAAGAGACAAAAGTTTCAACAAAGGAACTATCGCACTTAACAAATCTTCACCACCAGATTTCATATCATTATTATAAACTTCAGCTAAATACCGAATCATCTCTGATCTTCCTTCTCAAGTTCTCGAATATCAAATAACAAATTTAAAATTTCTTCCTGCAATGCAACATCAAAACCAAATTTACACAATAGAACTAGTGAAAATCCAAGATAATCTCTAAAACCCAAATGAATTCTAAATCGTACGACTCGGGTTCAATACGATAGCATTGAATCTGAGAAAATTAACAATAAAAAAATAAGTAAAAGAAATACCCAAAACCCAGAAACGAGAACAGATAAAGAACATCAAACCCAGCTAAATCAAAGAAATCAAAGCTAGAAAATCTAAAAATCTTCCATAAGTATAGTAATAACAAATCAAAGATCAACAAATTAGACAATGCTAAACCGCGGAGAATCTAGAAAAGACGAGGGTTACAGAGAGAACTTACGGAGCAGAATAGTGGACAAGCAAAAACGAAGTTGAAGAGAGGATATAAATAGGAGTGAAATATAAAAGATTCACGGGAAGACGGCCATCTCAGATGTATGAAAATTGACTCACGTATTTTACCCCCAAAAAAATCTCCATAATCGGTGAAAATATGATAAAACCAGGAAACATCCGAATATTATACTATTTTTTTACAATATTATACTAATTCTTTAAGTGACAACAATTTGAATCTGATTTGAAAACTATATAGAAAATTATATAACATTTGTTGAGCGTAGATGAACACCGTTAACTATAAATATCATTAAATTAATTTATAAAACGTTAAAATATAAAGTATTAAACGTATAATTATAAATTAATTAAAAATTTAAATGTAATTTAATTAAAATACAATATTTATAAAAAAATAGTTTTTAGGGTAAACTATATCATTGACTAACTATTTAAATGACGTGACATGACAGTTAATAAAATTTGTATAATTACACATTTAGTCTTCATTACTTACACATTCTATTAATTTGATCCTAACTTTTAATTAATTCAATAAATTTAATCCTCAATCAGAAGGTGACATGTGTCACTATGTGATTGGATTTTTTCTTAATATTTTTATTTAATTTAATAATTTTTTCATCCAATCAAATGATTTCACGTGTCACCAACTAAATGAATAGAAAATAAATTAAATCAATAACCGATGCTAGTAGAGTTAATTTGAACCTAAGATGTGAGGAGAGGAAGCAAACGCCCAAACCACTTAGTTGTACTATTTAAATGACAAACCTATCACGAAATAATATATATAGTTAGTGGCAATAAAAAAAGAAAATTACCTAATAATAACTCCAACATGAAATAATTGAATAGTACGATAATATGATATATGTACACAAATATTATAATTGATTAATATGTAAATGTATTTTATTTATATTTTAAATAATTTTAATGAAAAAATTAATATAACGAAGAGCTTCATTTACATAGAATTTTCCTGATAGTTGAAGACTTATTGTACTAAGCATTTTAACTTATGCATTGACTTGTTTATATCCCGGTTAGAGTAAGAATTTTATATTTTTTATTTATTCATTATACATTTGAAGAAAATTTTAGGGGAAACTTGATTTTATTGAATTAGTCTATTTTAATATAGAGTTGTTAAATAAAAATAGAAACTGATCGACGTTATAATATTTTAAAATATAAGTTATGATAGTTTTTAGTTTAATAAAGTTAGAATAATGAAGACATATTATTAATTTAAAATACGTAAAATGATACATTTCAATTATAACATATTAAATTCATTTTTATTCTAATTTTTACGTTAATTGTGATTTAAAATATAAATAAAACATATTCATTTTTATCAATTATAATATTTGTTTATATATATTTTATATTTTCATACAATTAAGTTATTTCATGTTTGAGTCCTTATAAGGTCATTTACTACTATTAATTATATTATAAATTATATAGATTATGTTATATATATTAGACAAACTTAGTGGTTAGGGTGCTTAGTTTTTTGGTTTGCGTTATGGGTTCAAACCCCACTAGTAGCGGTTATTGATATAATTTATTGAATTAGACTATTTTAATATAGAGTTATTAAATAAGATTAGAAACTTATCGACGTTATAATATTTTAAAATATAAGATATGATACTTTTTAGTTTAATAAAGTTAGAATAATGAAGACAATTTATTAATTTAAAATACGTAAAATGATACATTTCAATTATAACATATTAAATTCATTTTTATTCTAATTTTTACGTTAAATGTGATTTAAAATATAAATAAAAATATTCATGTTTTTATCAATTATAATATTTGTTTATATATATTTTATATTTTCATACAATTAAATTATTTCATGTTTGAATCCTTATAAGGCCATTTACCACCATTAATTATATTATAAATTATATAGATTATGTTATATATATTAGACAAACTTAGTGGTTATAGTACTTAGTTTTATGGCTTGCGTTATGGGTTCAAATCCCACTAGTAGTGGTTATTGATATAATTTATTTTTCATTCATTTAATTGATGACACGTGATACCATTTGATTGGATGAACAAATTACTGAATAAAAATATTAAAAAAATTCAATCACACAGTGACACAAGTCACCATCGGATTGAGAATTAAATTTATTGAATTAAAAAAAGTTAGAACCAAATTAATAGAATGTGTAAGTAATGAGGACTAAATGTAAAATTATGCAAATTTTATTAATTGTCAAGTCATCTCCTCTGTTAATAATTAACAACATGTGGCTTGATTGATAAGATTTAAATAGTTAGTGACCCGAGTGACAAAATTGAAAAACCGGTGATTAAAGTAAAAGGGGTAAATAGTTAGGTGATCAATGGTATAGTTTACCCTAAAAATTAATGTTTTATAAATATTTTATTTTAATTAAATTACATTTAGATTTTTAATTAATTTATAATTATATATTTAGTACTTTATAATTTAACATTTTATAAATTAATTTAACTATGCTCATCATTAACGGTGTTTATCCTTGCTTGTCGAAGGTGGCATCATCATCCATTCATTAAATACAACAATTCTAGTCAAATTTGACGAAATTTCTTTATTAAAAAAATTAAGTGTCAAAAGGATTTTGTTATCCCTTAAAACAAATTTCAACTTTAAAAAAAAATAAAAAATAGTTTGAATATCTGTAAGTTAGTGTTTGGGAGCTAAAATTTTTGTTTTGAATTATAAAATTTTAGATGTGGAATTTATGATTTTCAAATTGAGAAATTCAATATTCTTTTTGGATCATAAACATTCAAATTTTAAATGGATAATTAAAATTTGGATTTGGAGTTTGATTGGAGAATAGATAATTTTTCTTGCAAGTATATTTTTCACTTATATGATAGAAAATTGTTTTTATGCATTAAATTATAATAGAAAAATATTTTTCATTAAAAATATATAATAAAATCTATTATTTATTATATTTTAAAAATTGTAGTAGATTTACTTTTAAATATCTTAGCGTTAAAAAACATTCCTAGCCCTATATTGAAGAAAAAGATATTAACATTGCCGCCGTCGAAGTGATCATCTGTTTAAACACCCACATACTTGCTCAAACAGCAATTGACGCTATACTTTAAACACATTCAAACACCACTACCACTGGACTTTAAGGACCAGCATCGTGAGCAAGATTGAACCACTGCAGAGCTAAAAACGAGGGTAGCAATGGCCTTTTCCAATACACCAGTAGCCCCAAAACCATCGAGATAAGCCAGCATCTAGTACACCTTTTGAGTTGGAGATGGAATTTATTAGGCATCCCAACGAGCACATGCATTCAAATCAGCACGCAAAAACAAAAACAAACAACAAACTCCATTACATGAAGCAGCATAAACATCAGCTCGAAATAATATTGCTTATAATAATAACTATATATATATATATATATATATGATCCTTTGACTTGATATCATCATCATCCCAAAATCGCGAGTCGCGTATTATGACACTACAAATGTCTATTGCAATCGATGGTATTATAAAGACCAATGTTGGATATATCACATTTATATGGTTGATCAATATATAATTTCTCTCATACATGATGATAGTAATATCTTTGACCACTTGATTGAGAGAGAGTATAAATGCAAGGCCATGCTTAAATAAGTTGATATGAGATATCATACTTGTTTATTATAGTATACTCTAAGATATCAATAAAACATGGAATAAACTATACAAGTGTGAATATTTCATGATTAGTGTCAAATCCATATATTAAGGACAAAATGATATAATACATAAAAAGTTAATCACGGAAAAATTAAATAGAATCATAACTTCTTGCAACTTAAATAGTAATAATATATTTTTAGATATCACTCATTATTTTTAATACTAAAATTGTTTTAATATTAAAATTATTTTAATATTACCACTAATGTTACAAGAAAATATATAGTCATATCCTATTATTGAAGCAAGTGTTAATTGTTGCTTTTGTATCCTATTCATTCTAATCTGTTCTTTGTTAAAGAGTAAACAAATCTATAACAGTTAACTTACATATTTCATTTGAAAAAGAATAAAAACTGTTTAAATACAAAATCTTAAAATTTGAAATCCGAAAGAAAATTCTATATTTTTTTTTAAATATTATCAAATCGAGATTTTTTCTTAAAAAAAAATTCAAGTGCGCTTTTAAAATTTAAAAGAAAATTTGATGAATTAAGCTTAAAAAGATGTTCTTTTACAAGGCACACAATATTGTACTGTTGCTGTAAATGGGTCTCAAATCAGATTTTGTCTAAATTCATCAAAATTTTGTAAATGATAACCTAAATTTTGCGGCGATTTTCCAAAAAAAAATCACCATATACTCTTTTTTTTTCTGTCAGGTACTGTTCATACTATATTTTTTAATCTAACACCTTTTGCAGAAAGACGCATTCCCTGTAGTGCGTTTTACGTTGATCTGAAGCCACGTGAGGTAAGGCGCCCCCTGCAGCGCGTCTTATGCTAAGTTGGATACACGTGGATAAAGCGCAGCCCCTGGGGCGCGCCTTATGCCACGTAGAGCTATAGCGCGGCGCAAGGGCCGCGCCTTTACTTTAATTCTGACACGCGTCAAAAAGGCGCATCCCCTGTAGCGTGCCTTAGTTTTAATTACCCAACTATCCCGATCGTTCACACCTCATCCCCTCCCT